CCAGACACGCAGGCTCAGCGGCCATGGCTCACGGGCCTAGCCGCTCCACGGCATGTGGGATTTTACCAGACCAGGGCGCGAACCCGTGTCCCCTGCATCGGCAGGCGGACTCTCAACCACTGCACCACCAGGAAAGCCCACTGAAAAGCATTTTTTTAAAGAAAATAAGGTGGCCAAAAATATTTGCACTTGGAAATAACACAAAATCAATGGCAATGAGCATGGAAGTCACATGTTGACGAGCAACAGACCTACAAGATCCCATAAGGATAAGTAGGCACCAGGGCCAGGCTTTCCTTTTCAGTAAATGCTAAATTCTAGAGGAAGTTTAGTCTGAAGGAAAAAAAAAAAATCAAAAAAAAAAAAAATTCAAGGAAAGAGTAAACAAAAGAATGGTGTTGGGACTTCCCTGGTGGCGCAGTAGTTAAGAATCCGCCTGCCAATGCAGGCGACGCAGTTCGAGCCCTGGTCCAGGAAGATCCCACATGCCGCAGAGCAACTAAGCCCGCACACGGCAACTCCTGAAGCCCCTGCTCACCGCAACAGAGAAGCCACCGCAATGAGAGGTCCGTGCAATGCAGCAAAGAGTAGCCCCTGCTCGCTGCAACTAGGGAAAGCCCACGCGCAGCAAAGAAGACCCAACCCAGCAAAAATAAATTAAATAAAATAAATTAATTTAAAAAAAAAGAATAGTGTCTTTGAAACATTTTTTAAAGGAAACATTACCAATCCATCCATCGCTGTCGAGTCAGCTCTCACTCCAAAGATCATTTCAAACTTTCTTTGACCTGGTAGATTTTCATATAATATAGATTATATGTTACCCTCAGTTAAGTTACACAGTTATTTTTTAAGACTTACCTTTATAAAAGCATAGCCAGCACCATTATCTGTAATGGTGAGACCAAGTGAATCCTCAGATTTATACACATTCACTTCTTTTTTGATCCCTTTCACATGGGCAAATATGAAATCTTCAAGACCTATCTGTGCTCCTAAGAGTTTTCCCATGTCAACTTTAGGTGTATTTAAAGTGCAATATAAGATCTGCAAAGAGAAAGAAATATTTTAGGTCAGTTTCCACCAGGAAAACATTCTGATCATTAGTTTATTTAATACTTGAGTGAAACAGTCCTCAATTTATGATGTAAGCAGTTATATCATTAACGTTAGGTGATATGAACTGTTTCCTATAGGCCAAGCTCTGTGTTAAGCAATTTATATCCATTATCATATTTAATCCTCACAATAGCTTTATAAATACATTATCATCTCCATATTACCAATAAGAAAATCGAGACTTAATGAGAGTAAGCAATTTGTCTAAGGTCACAAAGATAGCACTTGTCAGAGCCAGGATTCAAGCTCAGGTCTCACCAACTTCGTAGCAGTTTACACTCCTATGTTACTTGCCGTTTACAATGCTGACATCGAAGGTTGTGTTCCCAAAGGTGGGGTCATGATATGTATACCACAATGAAAACATAGGCAAGACTATTTTGGAAATTTTGCTTTTTTAAATGAGGAAATTTTTAATTATTTTGCATTTTTGTGCTTAAGAAAGTAATTAATGGGCTTCCCTGGTGGCGCAGTGGTTGAGAGTCCGCCTGCCAATGCAGGGGACACGGGTTTGTGACCCGGTCCGGGAAGATCCCACATGCCGCGGAGCAGCTGGGCCCGTGAGCCATGGCCGCTGAGCCTGCGCGTCCGGAGCCTGTGCTCCGCAACGGGAGAGGCCACAGCAGTGAGAGGCACGCGTACCGCAAAAAAAGAAAAGTAATTAATGAATGAGGTAGTAAAACAAAAATGTCTAAAACGGACCTTGACTAGTCCAATCCCTTGCCTTTTTTTTTTTTAAATCTATTTATTCATTTTTGGCTGCATTGGGTCTTCACTGCTGCACATGGGCTTTCTCTAGTTGCAGCGAGCGGGGGCTACTCTTTGTTGTGGTGCACGGGCTTCTCACTGCAGTGGCTTCTCGTTGCAGAGCACGGGCTCTAGGCGCACAGGCTTCAGTAGTTGTGGCACGTGGGCTCAGTAGCCGTGGCTCACAGGCTCTAGAGCACAGGCTCAGTAGCTGTGGCGCACAGGCTTAGTTGCTCCCCGGCATGTGGGATCTTCCCGGATCAGGGCTCGAACCCGTGTCCCCTGCGTTGGCAGGCAGATTCTTAACCACTGCGCCACCAGGGAATTCCCAATCCCTTGGCTTTAAGAAAGGGGGAACTGAGGTCTGGAGAGGGTACTGCAACTTGATCAAATTCACTTAATGGTAGAAACAGAAAGACTGAAATGGTGAGAAGTTGTGTGGAGGTTTTAAAGGGACTTCTTACGTTTACCCAGTCTTTATTTGACCTCATTTTCCTTCAAAACTACAATTCATTTTACTAAAATCTGCAATGCTACTCTTAAGTTTGCCAACCATAATTTGGGTAATTTGTGAGGCCCAGATAAAAAATGGAAGAGGAGAAGGAGGGTTAAGAACATGCTATTGGTTTCAAGATTAAGTTTGGGACTTCCTCGGTGGCACAGTGGATAGGAAATCGCCTGCCAATGCAGGGGACATGGGTCTAATTCCTGGTCCAGGAAGACCCCACATGTCAAGCGAAGCAGCTAAGCCCATGCGCCACAACTACTGAGCCCGAGTGCCACAACTACTGAAGCCCATGCGCCTAGAGCCCACGCTCCTCAACAAGAGAAGCCACTGCAAGGAGAAGCCTGTGCACTACAACGAAGAGTAGCCCCCGCTGACCGCAACTAGAGAAAGCCCGCATGCAGAAATGAAGACCCAATGCAGCCAAAAATAAATAAAATTAAATCTTAAAAAAAAAAGATTAAGTTCAATAAATAAATATTTATTGAGCACCTTCTACATACCAAACAAAACTTTCTTTCTTTTGGTGGTAGGGGCCCTCGGCAGTGAAAGCACAGAGCCCTAACCACTGGACCACCAGGTAAATCCCTAATAGAGGTTTTTTATATCAAAATGGCTAAATGAAAATTTTTACCTTTTGTTATCAAGTAATGTTTGCCAAAGATATAGTCAGCCTTTCCTCCATCCCTGAGACTTGCTTCAGCCCTCACTTCCAACCCTCTCCCAACTTCCCTGAGTTTCACACCATTCCTGATTCCCCTGGAACCCTGGGCTTTAATGCATCCATAAGCCTCTGGAAGCCCAGAAACTGTGCAATTACTATTTGTTAAATGGCTTTTTAAGCCCTATCAAAATATGTCTGAGGCTTCCCTGGTGGCGCAGTGGTTGAGAGTCCGCCTGCCGATGCAGGGGACATGCCGCAGAGTGGCTGAGCCCGTGAGCCATGGCCGCTGAGCCTGCACGTCCAGAGCCTGTGCTCCGCAACAGGAGAGGCCACAACAGTGAGAGGCCTGCGTACCACAAAAAAAAAAAAAAAAAAGTCTGAATTGGAACAGCTCTCCCTGTTCTACAGTTAGAGGTCCAGCATGGTTGGCAAAGCCCCTATCAAATCCCAGAGGTATATGAAAGGTACTAGTGATAAAAACAAGGAAGAGGCCAAAGGGTACAGAAGAATTAACGCCTACAGGGAAGAACTACTGCTGCTGCCCTTTCCTCTTTTCACCCAGGTCTGTAGTGAGCTGTTCTAACTGGTGGGCCTTTAACACAAAGGGTTGTTAACCTTTGTATCCTGGTGAAGACATAATATATTCGGCTTTAGAGTTACTCTTTGCAAATACTCACTGGGGTTAAATTTTTATTATTCCCCGGGGGGCGGCAAGTCATTTAAGCCAATAATGGCTCCTATTTCTTATTCCAGTTGTGAAGTCAGTGGTATAATTAGTCCACTAACAAAAAGCATTAATCATGGTTAGTCAGGTGGAGGTAGTATGCATAGAAAACAGCTTTTCTGGCTTCCTTTCTCAAAAAGATGGAAAGTGAGTAGAACAGTTTTCTCCTTGTCGTTTTTTCCCGTGAAAATCTGTTAATGATGCTCATAGTGGATCCCAACCACCACTAATAAGCAACTCACCAAGTAGACCGATGATCTTATTTGCAAAGCAGAAATAGAGACACAGACATAGAGATCAAACGTTTGGATACCAACGGGGAAGGCGGGGGCGGGGGGGATGAATTGGGAAACTGGGATTGACATATATACACTACTGATACTATGTATAAAATAGATAACTAGGGGCTTCCCTGGTAGCGCAGTGGTTGAGAGTCCGCCTGCCGATGCAGGGAACACGGGTTCGTGCCCCGGTCCGGGAAGATCCCACATGCCGCGGAGCGGCTGGGCCCGTGAGCCATGGCCGCTGAGCCTGCGCGTCCGGAGCCTGTGCTCCGCAACGGGAGAGGCCACAACAGTGAGAGGCCCGCGGACCGCAAAAACAAAAGAAAACAAAACAAAAAAAAAAAAAATAGATAACTAATGAGAACCTACTGTATAGCACAGGGAACTCTACTCAATGCTCTGTGGTGACCTAAATGGGAAGGAAATCCAAAAAAGAGGGGATATACGTATAGCCGATTCACTTTGCTGTACAGTAGAAACTAACACAACATTGTAAAGCAATTATACTCCAATAAAAATGAATTTATAAAAAAGCAACTTACCAAGTAGACAGGAAATAAAACATTAAAATATAATGATGATAAAACAGAGTAGGGGAAAAAGCCCCAAACAGGAAATCCCACACAAACTGAACTTCTAGCTACTAAGCTAATTCCTTTCTTTCAACCGTTTCACATGCTTCACTACAGAGCAAATGTAAGATTTCCTGTAGATATAACCCTTTCCCACTGTGCTTCCTCCCCTGCAGAATAACGTTCCACTCCGGGCAGCCAGAAGTTGGCAGCCAAGGCATTGGGGTTTCTTTCCTGGAAGAAGTAGAGCCATGGAATAGAGCTCCACAGAAAGTTGTGTTGAAAACCGGCAGAAATGTAATGGTCCCTGGGAGGTGGAGTAAGAGCCCTCTGTAGCAGCAGGTAACTAAAGCTCCGCGACTTAAGATCAGTTCCTCAAGGGAGGATAAAAACCTATCACTCACACGATCTCAATGCCCAGCCATCAGCAAATACACCTGTATGTCATAAAGTCTAGAGATTCAAATACTCCTCGTAGATACTGAATTTTGAACTGAAAAATAAGAAATGCTTCCTAAATGCTGCAAAGTTCGTGCTCATTCATCTACTCACAATCATCTATTGGACACGTGCTTTTTGTCAGGTTCTGTGCTGCACAGTGGATGTACAAAGATGACTAGGACCAGTCCTCATACACAAGGAACTCCCAGGCTGGTAGATGCTCCACTGAGGTACAGTGGGGCAACATAACCCAGTTGTAATATAACAGTCCTGGATATTTAAACCAAAAAGGAACCTCAAATACATATCATGAAGCTTCCAACCTCCATTCATACATTTTCTTCAATCCAAAATCTAAAAGGCCTGCCCGCCCACCCCCAACTCTACCCCCATGCTCTTGTCTATTGAGACTCTGCAGGAATGTGACTGCCCGGGTGGAATCACTCTTCCCACTTCACTCACAACGTTTAAATCTAGCACCTCATTCGAGTGTCTGAGTCACCTTGCCTTCGACTCCAATTGGTGTAACACGTATTTGTCATCCTCACTCAGAGAGGCGAGATCTTAGTCATCTTTCTCCTACGATGTCTAACACAGTGCACTGCTCGGTTTATATCCGAATGTCACTGCACATTCACTTACCTCGTTTAATAAAACCTACCTGTGTACTAGGTTTTATTAACCTCATTTTGTGGATGAGAAAATTATGACTTCATCCAATTATCACAGCTAATAAATGTTTAGTGTTAAAAGAAAGAAAAAACGATACAAGAAAAGAAACACTGAAGTGGCTATGTAATCAACGTTCCTCTAACAAATACTTGGTTACAGAGATATACTAGAGAAAAGATATACTAGATAAAAGTAGTACGACATAGTACTTAATGTCATTTTTTATACTCTCTGGTGCACAAACTAAGTCAAAAGAAAGTAAACTCAGGGTAAGGTAGCATATAAGGAAAATTAACCATCCATTAGATATACCTTTCTG